CTAACTCTTAAAAATGTGGACGTGGTGATTTTTTGAAATTCTTACTTTTTTAACAATTTCAAACTTAACCTAATTCAAACAACATTTCTTCAAACGCCTTTTTCTAAAAAAAATTTTAATCAAACACCCTATATATCACACAACATCTTAAAATAGAAGCTTTAATCTTCAATTTGAGACATAAATAAACATAAGTAAACATCGTACGTTTAGGTGATTTAGACATCAAATCCGATGATGATGACGCATTTCCAAGACAATACGGTGTTGCGGAAACTTATCAACACCCTGAGTATGAGTTCGATAAAAAGTATCATGATGTGGGTTTGATACGGTTAAATTCGTCGGTTGATTTTAATATTTATATAAAACCTGCTTGTCTTTATACAGAAAAAGAATTATTAAACGATCAATTTATTGCGGCTGGTTGGGGGCAAACTTCTTTTGGTGGAAATACTGCGAGTATTTTGCAAAAGGTTAATTTAACTATTTCAGATCATGCAAAGTGTTCTAAAACGTATACTAGATGGGTTAATGGGTTAAATAATGGATTAATTGAAGATATACAAATTTGTGCTGAAGGAGCCGAGATACTTGTCAAGTAAATTTTTATTAATTAATTTGTTTTAATTTATTTTATTGATTTTTCTTTGCAGGGCGATTCAGGAGCACCGCTACAATATCTTGAAAGAAATGATAATCGTTTATATAGGATCGTTGGGATAACTTCTTTTGGAATTAATTGTGGATTAGTTCCTGGGGTTTATACAAGAGTGTCTTCTTATGTTCCCTGGATTGAAGGAATTGTATGGGGTTAAAAAGACTAATAATACTAAAATTTTATCAGCACAGATTGAAACTTTATAAAAATAAATACATAATACAAAATAAAACAAAAAAGTTTATCTAATTTAAATATAATCTAATTAAGCTTCTTATTTATCGTCGTCTTTTTAATTCCATACAATTCCTTCAATCCACGGGACGTAATACGATACTCTTGTATAAACTCCAGGAACTAATCCACAATTAATTCCAAAAGAAGTTATCCCAACGATCTTATGTAAGCGATTACCGCTTTTATCGAGATATTGTAAAGGAGCCCCTGAATCACCCTGCAAGAAAAAAAATTAATACACCAAATTAATTAACATTAACAAAAAATTACTTGACAAGTATCTCCCCCTTTAGCAGCTCCTTCAGCACAAATTTGAATATCTTCAATTAACCCATCATTTAACCCATTAACACGTTTAGTATACGTTTTAGAACAACTGGTATGATCCGAAATCGTTAAATTAACCTTTTGCAAGATGCTCGCATCATCCCCCCCGAAAGAAGTTTTCCCCCAGCCAGCCACGATAAATCGATCGTTCAATAACTCTTTTTCAGTATGAAGACACGCCGGTTTTATATAAACATTAAAATCGACCGAAGAATTTAATCGTAACAAAGCCAAATCGTGGTATTTCTTATCCGATTCGTATTCGGGGTGGCGAAAAGTTTGCGCAATTCCGAATTGTCTTGGGGAAGCGTCGTCTTCGTTGGATTTGATGTCTAAATCACCTAAACGTACGATATTAACTGGGCCGCTAAAAAAGAAATACATTTATTTATAATAAATGAGTTAAAAATTTTTACTGACTATTCCCTGGATAATAAACAATGCGCAGCTGTTAAAACGAAGTTTTCGCTTATTAAAGCCCCCCCACAAAGCCATTGGGTATCATCGGGGTCACCATACCCCAATAAAGCAACATGAGGAAATTCTTTGGCTTTTGAATTTTCTCCCCCTACGACGAAGATTTGGGAAATACCGTCGTCCTCTTCATTTAAAGATCTCATTGTTGTTGTTGTGGTCGTTGTTGTAGTTATTGCTGAAGAACTGTATTCGAAACATTCTATTAAAAAAAATGGGGTAAGAAAAATGTTTTAATTAAGATTGACACTTACTTTGAACACTTTTTTTATCATTTGATTCACGAATTAATGTGCTACTTAAAGGAGTATCTATTTTTTCTTGCGGGGGATTAATTTGTGCTGGAGAACTCAAAAAATTATACAAAATACTCGGTTTTGTAAAATTGTGTTGCTTAAAGAACGAAAGGAAACTAGGATCATATGGTAAATCATCTCCAGGGACGCAACAAACCACCGGAAGTAACGGAAGATCCTTATCAAAACTGCACAAATTAGGTTTCTCTTTCTTTAACAACATTTCTTTGGCCGATGCGCATAAATCGACTCTTTTACACACTCCTATTTCTCCATCTCCATCGGATAAGATACACGAAGAATTCACTTCAAGGTTAAGATGCCGACCTAAAATGAACTTTGTTGTTTACCTTGATAAAATATTCCTTGATTTATTTTAAATAATACGTTTGTTTATTTGTATGATAAAAAAATAATTAAGTATAATATACGTACCGTTTATTTTTAAACTTAACTGGATTAAAATCGTGGTGAATAAAATGTAGGTTAAGAACGAAGACATTTCGTTGTGGTAACGTGCAAATGCGCTGAGGAACTAAACGAACTCGGCCGGTTTTCAATGTATCAAGGAGTTCAAAACAAGGAGAAAACGATTATTGAATTCCTAAGATGGGTTTTACCACCAAAGCAAGTTTCAAGTTTTCAGAATTGCGTTAGATCATTCTCAACGGACCTAAAAATTCATGTCAAATTAGGTAGTTGTATTGAGAAATAGGCTTATCAATACAATTAATTAAAAAAATGAGTCATAAATTTTCCAAGATCTTAAAAGAATCACTTAATTCATGATAATAAGATTATGGAATTCTTTCTCTAACCTCTAAAAGAACCAAAATTTTTGGAAAAACCAGATAGGTAAGGACGTCACGGGCCAGTTTACATAAAGTAAGTAATATAAAGAAGAATATCTGGGCATCACACTTGACAATAAAATGACATGGAGAGCCCACCTAGATAATAGAGTAAAAAAAGCGTACGTTGTATTCGGCCAATGCCGGAGGGCTATAGGTAAGACATGGGGTTTGTCACCCAGAAATGCCCTCTGGATTTACACGGCTGTAATCCGACCTATGCTTACTTATGGTGCAGTAGTATGGTGGTCAAAGACCCTACAGTCTACATCCACTACTGCACTTAATAAAGTACAGAGACTTGCGTGTTTGTATGTTACAGGTGCGCTGCGGACTACCCCCACTGCAGCCATGGAAAACATGTTAAACCTAACGCCACTTCATTTGTTCATCCAAGAGGTGGCATTGGTGACCATGACTCGACTGCGAGCAGCAGGAATTCTAATGGGTGAGAGAAATAGTAAAAATGCCAATCTCTGGAATGAAATGGTGGATTACTCACCAATTCTGTGTTAGAATAATTTAGTTGATAATTATTTTGATCAACGTTTATTTTATAATAAGTATTTAGATCACTTTACCTGTTAATAATTTATATGTTGTAAGCATAGTGATATAAAAAAGTTGTTGTTGTTGTTTACGATTTTGTCATATACAAGATGTACAAGATTCTGCTTTAAAATTGGCAAAAATAAAATTCCCGTACCAAAAGCCATAAAGTCGTTTAAATATTCAAGAAAGTCCATCATTCTGGAGTGTGTAACGGACTTTACACCCCTACAACACATTTTTACGAAGAAATATCTCACCCACCCAAGCTCCACAGAAGTAGAGGTAAAAAACAGCCTTAAAATCTACACTGATGGTTCAAAGAGACGGGAAGGAGCGGGAGCCGGAGTCTTCTCGTACGATCTCCGACTCCACGTATCTGAACCTTTAGGTATAAATACCACCGTCATACAGGCGGAGTTAATCGCCATACAACTTGCCGCTGACGTTATTGTCAGATCCAACTTGGTAGGTAAGACTTTTACAATTTATACTGACAGTAGACAAGCTATTTTAGCCCTGAGTAGAATAACAATTACCTCAGGACTTGTTATGGGTTGTCATCTGACATTGGAGAAGGCCGCAGTGCATAACTGTGTCATACTTCAATGGATAAAAGGACACTCGACTTGTTCAGGTAACAAGCACGCTGATAGGCTTGCCAAAAGGGCTGCCAAACGAGCGCCATGTTCGCCTGAACCGATAATCGCTCCGTCCTTATCAACTCAGATTGAGATAATTAAAGATTTTACCCACAAAAAGTTCATGAACTGGTGGGATAGGGTTAAGGGTTGCCATCTGTCTAAGGAAGTATTAATCCATCTGTAAAAGCCATCTGTAAAGAGAGCGAGGAGACGGTCCGACACATCTTGTGTGAATGCCCCACTCTGCAAAACCTCAGAATGAGAGACTTCGGAGAGGAATGGCCGACCACAGATGGCATCAGGAACACACCTCTGAGCTGTATCCTAGCCTTCGGAAATTCCTTAGGCTGGTTGATGTAGCCGGAGACAGTGTAGGAGGATGTACAAGGGGCCCGTTGGGGCCTAGGTGCTGTGTGCGTAGCATACCCTCCGCTTTCCTACATACATAAAGAAGAAGAGAGATATAAACCAGAAAACTTGTTCTAAAAATGGCATTGTTAGCCAAGGTTGGGAACACTGCCAGATATGAAGACTAAGAAAAACAAATTTCCAGGAGAAGATGGTGTAGTGGTTGATGAAATTAAAATTGGAAGATAAAGAACCTGTTCAATATGCCTTTCTAACAGTTCTACAACTACAGTACCAAACAGAACTTTACTACTCGAAACCCTTCATACATGATGAAGTCTTCAACACACTCCAACAGATATTCATAACGAGTTCCTAATGAAATGCAGCCAAGAAATCGGCCTTATACCAAAAGAAATTAAGAAGGCAAAGATAATCTCCATCCTAAAGCTGGATAAGCTAACCACCTACCTACTAAGAACTTGCTTTAAACTGCTAGTTTAATATTCCCGTCGAATTAGTAAGCTTCAAGCGGGGTCGCAGCTGTGTGGATGAGGGCTCAGCTTTACAAAAATATCGAGGCTGGCTTTTAGAACTAGAAGAAGCCTACAACACCATATGGAGGAAAGGACTGCTATTTAATTTCCTTGAAAGATACTTACTGCTCAATAACATACTCAGTGACAGGTGGGAAGTCCAAATAAACACCACCATGCGAATCACCGGCTGTATAAAAAGTACTCCCATACACTGGCTTCTTGCATTCAGCCATTCCATCACCTAAGCTGAGAAGATTTGAGAAAAATATTGAAGAATGGACAAATCCAAATCCACAATGATTCTATCCAACGGACCTGGAGACTGACATGGAACCAAGTCATCACCTCCGAAGTTACACCTGAACATATCTAGCAAGCCAGTTGGTTTTGTAAATAATTAAGATTTTCTTTATTGAAAAAATATCAATATTGTTACAATAACATTTAAGGCCATACAATTCCTTCAATCCAATTAATATAATATGATACTCTTGTATAAATTGCTGGTGCAACACCACAATTTATCCCAAACGAAGTAATCCCCACGATTTGATACAACTCTGGATCAAAAAATTGTAAAGGTGTCCCCGAATCACCCTATCATAAAAATAATAATTTAATATTCATGTTATAGTAGATAATATTAAAAAATCGTACTTGACAAGTATCTCCGCCTTCATCAGCTCCTTCAGCACAAATTTGTGTATCCACATTTACCCCGTCTTCCAATCCATCAATTCCCTTAGTGTATGTTTGAGAACATGTTTGAAAATCCGTAATGTTTAATTCAACTTTTTGTAAATTATTGGGATGAGTTCCACCGAAATAAACCCTCCCCCATCCCGCCGCAACAAAGGATTCATTCTTCGGCAATTCTTTTGGAACATAAATACAAGCCGGTTTTATATAAGTACTAAATTCAACGTTCTTTTTTAATCGAATCAGCCCTATATCGTGGTATTTACTATCCGGGCGATATTCAGGATATTCATACGTTTCTGCAACTTCGTATTCTACAGGAAATGCGTCATCGTCGTTTGAGCGGATATCTAAATCACCTAAACGAACGTATTTAACTGGGCCACTTAAAAAAATTGGATTAATAATAAAACTGTTTTAATAAGAAAGTGTTACTATAAATCGGCTGATAAACAATGTGCTGCTGTTAAAATAAAGTTTTCGCTTATTAAGCCACCCCCGGAGAGCCAATGAATATCATTTGGGTCACCATAACCCAACAAAGCAACATGAGGAAATTCTAAAGGTAATGCGTCAATTCCCCCGGTTATAAATTTATGTGGGTTAATAAGAACTTCTTGATACGGTGCTTGTGTCGTTGATGTTACTGGTAAATTAGTGGGATATTTGTAGTCAAAATCGTTATATTCTTTGCATTCTGAAATAAATTTTTAAATTATTAAGTTAAAAAATTTTTAATAAATTACTTTCAACACTTTTTTCCCCACCAATACGAATGGTTGCATCACTAGTTTGGCTTCTTGTTTGAGTATTATTTTCTGAACTTGTATTTGATTCACTTAAACTTGGAGTTGTAGTTGTAGTATTAAATGTAAATGAAGCAAGAGCAGAATGGAAAGGTAAATCGTTTTCTGGTACACAACAAACGATCGGTATAAAAGGGGAGATTTCTTCGAAACTACACACAATCGGTCGTTTATGATTTAATATCACTCGTTTTGCTGACGCACATAAATCGACTCTTTTGCATACCCCGATATCGCCGTTAGATAATAAACAGCTAGAGTTAACTGGAAGGTTATGTTGTTGACCTAATCCTAAAACTAAAAAAAAATAGATATTTAAGATGAAAATTAAAGATAAAATACTTACCAATTGTAAATGTTGTATATATTAAAAATAAATATGTTAATAATAAAGACATTTTGTTGTTAAACCGAACGAATCGAGCGAGATACTAAAAACCTGTTGGTATTCATGAAGGTAAACGGTCATGAAGAAACCAGTCTTCATGAATTCATAAAAACAATCTTCTCTTGTCGACAAATCAATGAAATATTAGCTGGAGTGGGATACACTCAATTTTCTTATGACAGTCATAGATTAACAATATTTCTAAAACATTCATCGAGAGGTATTCTAAGATATGGATGAATTGCAGCATAATATACCACTTGCGGTTACACAATTTCATTTCCGTAATATAATGTGATAGAACCAACATTTTTGTTTAATCTATAAATATCAAAAAAGGTAAAATTTTAAGAATTTGTGGAATCTTCGTTTATAGAAATAAAGAAACGAGTCTCATCTTAGATTAAAGCTTAAAGATTACTCTTTAAAATGATTCCATTTTATTCAATCCAAGATCGGTTGAACATCAAAATCGACATTGTTTGAGTTTGGTCCAATTAACATGGTTGAACAAAAATTCGTAACTCGTATTATGAGCCCCCTTCGGTTACAATAAATAAGTTACAATAACTGCTGCTGTGCTTTTTCAGGTATTTAGAGAGCTGTTACCTTAAATCTGAGTTAATCCTAGTGTTTTAATTTGTAACTTTCTAGATATTGTGCTTTTTAATGATTTTACGTTTTGTCTTATCGGTAGAACCATAATTATTTTACTAGAGCAGGTTAAAAGTTATGTAGTAATTCAACCCGAATTACGGAAGGAAAGGGACAACGTTAACTCCTACGAGTCAAAATGTTATAACACTTTATGAAATTAGATCAACGCGATACAACCCATTCACTTGAAATATTATTATTATAAAAGTCATCATTTCTTTTACTTTTAAAATCAGTAATTGCTTATTTTTAAGGTGTATAACGTAATTACATAGTGGAACTTTATATGTGATTGTGAAACTGAGCATAAAAACAACAACACAAAAAGTGATGTAAATACCGGGAAGATGCGAAGTAATTATGTGAATTTTATGAAAAAGCTATTGTCGTTGTATTCGTTGACGTCATTAATGGTGTTATTTTTGTAAATATAATCATGAAATTATTCATAAAATTTATCTAGATTTAATTAAAAGAGATTTTGCGTTTTTTTTAAATAATGAATGAAACATAATAAAATAAACTCTATGAAAAGAATTAATGAAAGCATTAAAGTTCAATTTATTATCAAAAACGTTACGTGAAATATCAAGGTTTAAAAATCAAGTATATGTTAATCGTGTTCAAGGCAGATAGTTAAGCTGAACTTCCTTAATAAAGATATTTTTATAATACAACCTAACGATTATTATACACCATTTTAAAGAGTAATCTTTAAGCTTTAATTTAAGATTAATCTCATTCCTTTGTTTCTATAAACAAAGCTTCCACGAATTCTTAAAACTTTACCTTTTTGGACACTTATAGATTAAATAAAAATGTTGGTTTTAACTCAACATTTCTTTTCTCCATATTTTTATTATGCAACCCAATGATTATTATACATCATTTTGATGAGAAATCTTTAAGCTTTATTTTGAGATATGACTCGTTTCTTTATTTCCATAAACAAAGATTCCACGAATTCTTAAAATTTTACCTTTTTTGACATTTATGTATTAAGCAAAAACGTAGGTTCTAACTCAACATTATTTTTCTCGATATTTTTATAATACAACTTAACGATTATTATACACCATTTTAAAGAGTAATCTTTAAGCTTTAATTTAAGATAAGACTCGTTTCTTTATTTTCGATTTCACGCTTTATTAAAATTTTATCTTTTTTAACATTTGACATGAGATGTTAACGAAATAGAGGAAGGTTCAATGTGGTTTGTGGCTTGCCAAAATCGAATCCATCCCATTTGGACACTGATGATCTAAGTGTATGTAATTGTAACTATAAATTGGACGCAAAAGTTTTCCATTGTCAAGAATAATGGATCATAAATCGATAAATGCTTAATTTTCGAACTTACAGATATTAAAAAAGGTTATTTTGTGAATTATTTTATATAAGGATTAGAAAATCTTAACGTTAAGTTCTATTGATAGATTTTCATTTTAGGGGGAGTATTCCACATACGAGGGTCGTTTTCGGAACGCGAAAGCTCGCGGAAATGACGCAATAAATTTTATCTCATCCCGCCTCATATCGCGTCGTCGCCGCTCTTAAACTTTACAGCAGATAATAAACCCTTTATATCGCTCCGTGGCTAACTTACCAGTTTTACGCCTTCGGCGTTTGCTCAACGAAACTTGCTCGTTTCGTGTCGAGAATTTTTATAAAGTCGCGATTATTCCGGTTTGGACAAAACGAGAGACGGGAGAGAGAGCCGCTCATCTCATCCCCCTTCGAATATCCCATTGTTCTGTTGGGATACCGGGGGAGGCCCTAATATCGAATTGTGGGTCAACGAACTTCTCTCTCTGTCTCTCTGCTCTGACATCGATGAACAATGGAACAGAACAGACGATGGCAATGACGTGAACAGTGCGTATCACCGATAAACGATGAGCTTTTAAAAAATTCATTCATTCAACCTTTTTTCTCGAAATAGATTTAACCTGGAAATGTTTATTTGGTACTCATTTTGTGTCGGCGAATGGCATATCACGATACGCTACGCATCAATGTAATTAACTTCGGATTTTGATGGGATTTATTCATTAAATTCATTGACATTTCGTGACGAATTAAACCGCTCATAACTTCAGATAAGATTAAAAAAAGAACTTTCTAATTGGAAAAAAATTTTTTCTGGAAATTATAATAATATCTACTAACTTTTATATGACACCATAAACTAAGCTTCAATTCAGCTTAACGTCATTTCTGTTAGAAATCCTTGAAAAACTTCTAGGACGGTAAATCCGTAGTCCACTGAGTCGCCACCAGTACGCTTATCAAGCGGGAAAATCAGCAGAAATGGCTCTACACAACTAGGTTGGTAGAGTATCCAGGACGCTCCAGGTTCTCTTGAAAGAGCTGCTCTTGACAGGGAAGTGGAAGCAACTATAGTCCCTTCTGTAATATAAGCGTATGCTGATGACATTGTCGTTATGGTCAAAGGAATCTGTTTGTCGAGGATATCCAAAGTCCTCCAGGTAACCCTAGATACCATTTAGAATCTCTCGCTAAACCCGCAAAAGACAATCGTTGTGCCCTTCACTTAGAGACGAAAGTTGTATGCACTAATCCACCCAACTATCCAAGGTGAAGAAATTCCTTTCTCAAAGAAAGTTAAATATCTAGGAGTAATCCTAGACAAAACCCTCTCATGGACTATCCTTGTAGACTTGATGTTCTATTTGGCCTATCTCCTTTGCATTTGCATATAGAGAAAGTGCAGGATGAAGTATTTGCTATTGACATAGGTGCTAAAACCTTTCTTGAGAGAGGGATGAAGAACGTGACAGTATGATTCCTCAGACAGTCAAGCCGCTCTCCAGGTGTTCCAAGCCGTGAAAACGGTATCGGTTCTGGTTAATGACTGTAAAAGAACTGTAAACACACTGAGTTGTGATAACAGAGTTTTTCTGATCTGGGTCCCAGGTTACTCTGGGGTTGCTGGCGATGAAGCAGTAGATGAGCTAGCACGAGAGTTAATTGGTATATCATTTGCGATGTCCAAACATATGATTTGACTGTGGGCTAAAGAGAGACTTGGCCTACTGTGGACCAGTTTTCTTGGAATGAGATATGCTAAGGTGTATCAACTATATATATCATATCAAGATACTTAAAAATACAGTTGATTTGATTTTCAATTACCTTATAACTTTTATCAATTAAATCCATTGACATTTCGTGACGAATTAAACCGCTCATAATTTTAGATAAGATAAAAAAAACTTTTTAATTGGAAAAAATATTCGTTTGGAATTACGTCCGGGTGTTTCAACGAGATTATAATGTCGTGAAGAGGTGTCGTACAGCCTCATTTAGCAGGAATCGCGTCGCGGATGGAAAGGACCCGTCGACATCGAATTGACGGAAGCGGCCGTTCATTAGGCATTAGGCGGGTTTTAATCTGGAGAAGGCTCAAATTGAAAATTATTCAGGTGGAAGAGAGACGCTCCCGACCGTACCGGAAACCCTAATGGCGGCCCTCTAGGACTTGGCAAGAGATACTGGGTCCGTCGCCGCAATTTCCCGCTCCCACTGTGCGTTTCCTTTATAAAGGCAACCAACTTTAGAACCGAATTTCACCCCCTATTTTCCTCTTTTTTTTAAGTTTTCAAACTTTTCCGAAAATATTTCCAACTCCTTTTCTACCTCTTCTGAGTAACTTGGGTAAAATAAAACTTTTATAATGTTCATAACAATATCTTTAAGGTGTAAGAATTTCTTTATTGTTTTCTTTACTACGTCTAGGAGAGCACTTTTAAAACACCTGTATATTAGGGAGATAGCAAAACGTGCTGAGATGTAATTATTAGTTTTCGCAGGTCTTATCTGGACTTTCGTGCAACGAGAGCTTCCATTAAGGGCGCTTTGTGCACGGGTGTATGTAGGACAAACAGACAATATCCTAGNTGTAAGGTAAACAAGCATCTTTATAACCTTAAGCTTGCTGTTAGTCCTCTCTGTCGCCTCTGTAAAGAGAGCGAGGAGACGGTCCGACACATCTTGTGTGAATGCCCCACTCTGCAAGACCTCAGAATGAGAGACTTCGGAGAGGAATGGCCGACCACAGATGGCATCAGGAACACACCTCTGAGCTGTATCCTAGCCTTCGGAAATTCCTTAGGCTGGTTAATGTAGCCGGAGACAGTGTAGGAGGATGTACAAGGGGCCCGTTGGGGCCTAGGTGCTGTGTGCGTAGCATACCCTCCGCTTTCCTACATACAACCCCAGATACCATTTAAAATCACTCGCTAAACCCGCAAAAGACAATCGTTGTGCCCTTCACCAAGAGACGAAAGTTGTACTCACTAATCCGCCCAACTATCCAAGGTGAAGAAATTCCTTTCTCAAAGAAAGTCAAATATCTAGGAGTAATCCTAGACAAAACCCTCTCATGGAATGGACATTTGCAGGGAGTTTTGCACAAAGCTAGACTATCCTTGTGGACTTG